TAGTGTAAGCTGCTCCAAACTACCCCTCATGTTCTTCCCTTGAATCCTCCATCAACGGCAAGCGTCGAGTCAAGGATTCAAGCAAGAGACTACAAGGTTCTACACCAAACTGAACTGTGTCAAGATCACTCAAAACCATGGGATTCCTTTTCCCAACCATAAGGTCCCTTCAGAAACAGAGTGCTCAAACAAAATTGGAGTAATTTTATTGATGATAATGCATCATTCAGTCTAATCTCTAAGTATTTACAGAGGATTTAAGTCTGGAAAAGCTAATAGAAAGTAAACAAATGATCAGTTTAAACAATCCCAGTCGGTTAGTTGGTGATTTCAAGCTCATCTACTGATCACAAAGCTACATAATACTAACGCCATCAACAAGCATTCAAGCTACAATCCAAATAAGAGCAGAAACTAAGAACAGTGGAACAAAAGATTTCAGCAGCAGCAGCTGAAGTAAACGACTTACCCCGACATACATGGAACTGAAAGCTGAAACATGAACACTTCCGCCCCATATTCCAACGAGGAGCCAATTGTCAAAAACGGAACTCCATTAAAGGGTTCTTCCAAAAGACGGCCGAAGAAACAGAAACCCATTTCCCAATTTGAACAAAAACTCGAACCCACCACGTTGGAGGAGTCGAAATGGGTAGTAAATTAGGAAGGAAAATTCAGTGAAATTTTTGACGAGTTGGGTTCGTCGGAAGCCGGGAAATGGGGTCCGATCAAACACTATTGAAGTGATGAGGAAGGGGGGAGAAGGTTGGAGCGGCGCAAGATGGATCTTAGCCGGATCAAAGCCGAGAGAGAGTTGAAAAGCAAAAAGGGGCTTTGAGGAGAGCCGCTGGCGATCTGGGTGGGGACTGAGCGAGCTTGAGCAGAGAGGAAGGGTGTGGATTTGGATTTGGATTTGGAATTGGAATTGGGGTTGGCTCGGCTGCGAATTTGGCCATTTTTTTGTTCTTGCTGCCCCCCTAATTTGTAAAGCCAGCTTCGTGTTTCCGTCTTGGCGCTGGACTAATGGCGCGTGCTCGCCACTTCGTCAATCGTCTAGCCAGCTGAGCTTCTCTTCATCATCGCGCGTGCTCCTCGCGCGTTCCTTACATTTAAATTCCATTTGTGTCCTCCTTTTTCCTTTTTTTTTTCTTTTTTTTTTAAATCAAAATTCAATTTTAAACAAATGTTAAATTACAAAACTACCCTCGCTATTGCTATCTCTAACACCATCCCTATCTCATCCATATACACCCATTCCGTCTTGCAACCGTACTTCTTAGGTGGAGTGTTTCATGTGTTAGTTGGGCCCCTAATTCGTGTAGACTAAGGACGAACACTCATCGTTTATAGCATGGACTACTAGAGTATCTAATCCCATTCGCTTCTCATGCTTTCGCACCCCATCATCGGAAGAGACCTAGAGAGCAGCCTTCACTTTTATGGCGTTCCTTCATTGATCTCCGAATTTCACTTCTACACACGAAATTTCACTCTCCTCTATCTCACCTAACTGAATGGGTTTTAAGAACATTCCACTAGTTTTTGGCAACATTCACTTTCAACCCGATTAACCACTTTTATATATATATATATATTTTTTAAAATTTAAAAGAAAATTTATGTTTTTAGAAAATTAAGTATTATATTATATTTTTTACTTGAAGTATTACATGTTTTTATAATAAAATTTATAATTTAAAATAAATATTTTTAAATAAATAAATAAATGATAGGAAAGTATTTATTGGTATTTATACTTTTAAATGTTGAAATTTAATTTATATACTTTTAATAAATCTTTATTATCGGGTTGAAGTAAATTTTTTTTATTAGAACGCTACTATTTCAATCCGTTGAAATAATAATTTAATTCTAAACTCGTTTCTTTTAAACTTTAAACCTTGGCGTGCAATCTTAGATGCTTCAAACTCACTACCCAACATTCATATAATTTTGCAAGTAAAACCATACGACCATCAAATTCCTATGATTCTTCACAACCTTCAAAGCTGACATAAATAGAAGCTTTGTTAACCCGGGAGTCCAAAAAAGCCTCATTTCCAACGTAATCTTCCTTTTCATGAACAAAATTGGGTAAGAAATGCACTACAACATCATATGCCATCACTCCCATTCTACCTCCAATCCAACTACCTAAATGACTTCCTACAAGGTAGCCGAGCCTCCCGAGCCCTTGCTCGCCGATGAAGCCTCCCGAGTATGCGCCAACGAGCGTCCCCGAGCCCCTGAGGAGCCCTTCTGTTACAGTACCACTATAGTATAGAGCTTCAAAAAAGTCCCATCCAGAAGAGATGATCAGCCCTATAATGCGTTTCGCGTGTTGCTTCGCCACCTCTGCTGCCTTAACTCCCTCTTTCCATGCGTGTTTTGCTGCATCATTCACAGACATTCCCTCTGTCACTGCGTCGGCCAGGGCGGTCTCGAATGCTTCGCGTTGTACTGTCTCGACATGAGCGGTTTGGATGTTGTAGAAGTAGAGCTTTGCCCCCTCCTTCACACCACAAGCAAGTAATCCAGAACCCATGTCGAAACAATTCAAGAATGTGATCTTTCCACTCTGGGATGAAGCTTCCTCCCTAACCAGATCATGTCGACATTTCTCCACTATGAAAAAGAAACTGTGAATACTACAAAGTATGTGAAAAACTGTGGAACAAACATATAACTAATGGTATAATATGACAAACATTCGAATACTTAGTAAATCCGTAAAAATGCACCCTCGATAATTCGGTCTACTAAACAAAACCCACATCCAAGACATAAAAACGGTTGGAATGAAAGTGGAAGTGGAAGCGGAAGCAAGATCGATCACACTCACCCATCCATAAACAAAAAGAAACACAGGAGAGAAGAAATTCTCGAGCCAACTTTGCACTTTGACCTGGATGACATTCTATATCATGTACCCATGTTCCTATATGTATATCGGCGAATGGTATGCAATTTCCTATCAGAGAATTTAGATCAAGTATCTTGTATCTAGTTGCGGGGGTCGTGGCGAAGAAGCAGTCAGCTGACTCACTACATCCATGGATGGTAGCCAATCACTATAACCAGAGTATTTACAAGTGTATCTCCTACACTCTCACACTACAAGGTCCCACTTTCAAAATTTCTCTCAATTGCCTCTAGGTAAATATAAAATGACATTCACTCCATGACAGTGCTAGACAAACCTATATTAGTGACTATGTCATGATCCATCCAAAAAGCAAAAAAATCGAGTCCAATAGATTCATGAACCAAAGTACGGAATGTACCAAAAAGTATTCATCAATAATATTCATCAATCCAAGTATTCATGAATCTAAAAGATTCCTGAACCAAATCTTTATGACCATTCTCAAATCGAATCATTTAGATACATAACTTTTGTTTCTAAACATGGTACTTAAGTTCTTCCAGCACCTATCACCATTAAAATTCCTCTTCAAGATCGATACTACAATACATTAACACTTGGGGAGTTCGATAATCACTGCAAACTCCGCGAAGGGGTTGACTAAATCGCTTTGATGTTTAGTTCTACACTTCTTAGAAGTGTTTTTAAGTGTTTTTTTAACAATCACTCGGGTCAAGAACAGTCTACAAGAGCTTTTTCATAAAGCACTTTAACAGCTTGTAATTTTTCCTAGGAACATTTTAATTGGTTCTAGTGCAGAAGAAACAAAGAAACAGTCAGAGAAACAAGTTCCAGATGTAAGATTTCACCAAATAAACAGCAGGAATTAAACTGGTTTTAAGATGTGAAACAAAAGATATGAGAAACTCAAGCAAGATCAAGAGAAATCAGCACAACAGTTCTGTTCCATTAAGATTTTCCAAACCCTACATAGTTTCACCGTAACGGCCTGAGCCCACCGCTAGCAGATATTGTCCTTTTCAAGCTTTCACTTTCGAGCTCCCCTCAAGGTTTTTAAAACGCGTCTACAAGGAATACATCCTTATAAAAGGGTGTTTCGTTCTCCTCCCCAACCAATGTGGGATCTCGCAATCTACCTCTCTTTAGGGCCCAACGTCTTCACTGGCACTCGTTCCTTTCTCCAATCGATGTGGGACCCCTAACCAAATCCACCTCCATTCGAGGCCCAGTGTCCTTATTGGCACACCACCTCATGTTCAGGGATACAACCTCCTCACTGGCACATCGCCCGGTGTCTGGCTCTGATACTATTTGTAACGGCCCAAGCCCACTGCTAGCAGATATTGTCCTCTTTGGGCTTTGACCTTCGAGCTTCACCTCAAGGTTTTTAAAACGCGTCTACTAGAAAAAGGTTTTCGCACCCTTATAAAAAGTGTTTCGCTCTCCTCCCCACCGACGTGGGATCTCACATTCACAAATTCTAATTCTATGAAACAAGAAACCAAGAAACAAGATTACTACTAGTATTTCACCAATTCAAGACACCTGCAACAAACCCTAACAGAGAAATACGAAGATTTCCACTTCTTTCTTCCTCCACCATTCTCGAGAAACAAGTAAAATCAAATATCCAGAAAAGAAAAGGAAAAGATCAATAACTATTGATTCAAGTACGCTCTAAAACAGATTTACATCAGAGTTTCGATCTAAATCAAACGTACCTATGAAACTGAGGGCGATGGCGCCGATTATAAATATCAGAAATTGAACGCACTTCTTCGCGAAATCGAAATCGAAACCCATGGAAGTTCTTGAAGCTCATGAACAACGAGAATGCTCTCCAATTCGAATCTCGGTAAGAAAATGCTAGTTTGGTGGGAAATTTACACGAGAATTTCAAATATGTGGAAGAGAAATAAGAAATGGAAGAAAAACTCCCTAATATGAAGTAAGTGAGGTTTGCTGCCTATTGCCGTTAGGTTTTTGTTTTAATTATGAACACCCGCCATTTGTTTAAAATAATTAAATAAATAAATAAATAATAATGTCAAAATATTAATTTTATCTTTAAAATATTATTTTTATCTTTTATAAACGTATCATAATAATTAATAAACTGTGGTCCGCTCGCAGAATCCCGTCTACTCAGAACGCGAATCTCCGACTACCAGGCGACGGCGACGGCGACGGCGTTTCGTTTCTGAAACTTCAGCGACGGCGACGGCGACGGCGTTTCGTTTCTGAAACTTCAGCGACGGCGAATACCTCCATATGGTGTATAAAGAATAAAGGTGCAGAGTTCAGCAGCTTCCTCCATGGCACCCTTCCTTTTCGACTGTTGACTTATTTTTTACGTTCCAAACCTGAACGCTTGGTCGCTTGGAAATGGTGGATTTCAATATGCATGGCAATTAAAGTGAAGTCTGTTCCATTTCCGCATTTCTGTTAGGTTTGTTCTTTTTTGTGGAAGGATGTGGTTTGGTTGGATCTGAATTTTCCTAGGGTTCTTTCTTACTTCGATTTACTTCAACCTAATATTGGTTCTTGGCTGAAATTGTTAGGATTTCTCAACCATCAATCGAGTTTTATTTCGATTTTAACAAGCTTGATTGAGAAATTAACATTTGTTTCTTGAGCGAATATTTGGCGATTCTGGATCATCATTCATTCATAGTCCAACATCCAATTCTCACACACTAATATGCTATCTATCCCGATGTACCACGAGCATTGTTGAACGTTTTTAGTAGTTTCCATTATAATTTTGATCTTCGTGCTCCTGATTTCAGGAACAATTCAATGATTCTTGAGTTTCGAACTCTTGAATTTGATCTGGCTTTCAGTTGGTTCGATTAGTTTTGGTTACTCCTGGAATTCAGTCTCCAGACCTTGTGCTTGAACATTTCTAGATCCCCGCCTTGTTAGATTCTTGGTTTCTATTGCTGTGGCCTCGAGTAGAGATAGTGTAGTTTATTGATATGCCCATTTCTTGGTGAACCCTTTGTATATGTAAAGCTTTCCTTTGAAAAAGTTGATGGCTCTCCATGAGCCATCCAGAGTGCAATACGAGCTTCCTAATCTAGAGCCTTGCCCTTAGGCTTCCCTGATGAAAATCAAGCTAACAGTGTAAACATGTTTATTTGTTGTGAGATCCTACATTGATTGGGGAGGGGAACGAGTACTAGCGAGCACACTGGGCCCTAAAAGGGGTGGATTGTGAGATCCTACCTCGGTTGGGGAGGAGAACGAAACATTCTTTATAAGGGTGTAGAAATCTCTCTCTAGTAGAAGCGTTCTAATAACCTTGAGAGAAAGTCTGAAAGGGAAAGCCCAGATGGTTACATTTTTTGTCACTTTAAACTAGAACTTGTTTTATCCATTTTGTGGATATGTATCTTTAATGGAGTTATGTTTTCATGTTCATGTTTTGCAGAATATATGCAACAGTCCAAACTCGACATGGATGACAAACAATTTCACTGGAGCCAGTGGCAACTGCTCGATTCTATCCTTCCTACTGGTGGCTTTGCACATTCGTTCGGTCTCGAGGCTGCAATTCAAGCTCGCATTGTCTCACAACCAGAAGATCTCAAAACGTTTGTGATCCATTTGTTAGACAACACTGGAAGTTTGCTTCTTCCTTTTGTGCATTCGACCACGCTATCACCTGATTTAGAAACTTGGGAGAAAAATGACAGATTCTTGAATGCAATTTTGACAAATGAAGTTAGTCGAAAGGCGTCCGTTACGCAAGGATCAGCACTCATGAGAGTTGCAGCAATAGTATTTTCTGAAATCTCGTCTCTGAAAGCGATGAGAGAAACCACCACAGGGACTGGGGCTGTTTCCTTCCACCACGCTCCCATATTCGGGCTAATCTGCGGTCTACTAGGATGGGATAGCACGATGTCGCAGAGGGCATATCTGTTTATTACCCTGAGAGACGTGATTTCTGCTGCAACAAGACTGAATTTAGTAGGACCCTTGGGTGCAGCTGTGTTGCAGCATCAGCTTGCGCTTGTTGCTGAAGACACATTGAAAAAATGGATGAACCGTCCTGTTGAAGAAGCTTGCCAAACGGTTCCTCTGTTAGAGACAGTACAGGGATGCCATACGTACCTGTTTTCTAGGCTGTTCTGTTCTTGAAAAGTTTTGAAGTGTCCAATTCTTTGCTTCCTGTGATGTTGGGCATACGAGGCGGCCCTTCTTTCCTGGTATGTGCTTGTCAATAGTTGTGGATTTTGAGATAATACTACGACGTACTTGCATTTTGTGCATTTTCTATGTCACCCCATGATTTTTCATCTCATATTGATACCATAATTTTTGTCTCAGTGTTCGTATTTTCGTCCAATTCCATACGAACACGTGAACATGATCGAACCTATGTATAAGGCACCTGACTCCCATCAATTGCGTGTGTAGTGTCACAATCGCACTCTTGCGGTAGCGAGACAACGATCGAACAGGTTAGTTGTGAGAAATTTAGACTTCGTGGACAATGTCAGTATATTCTTGAGCTTCTGGTCATGTTTGCGAGAGATGCTTTAGAAAACGTGAGCAAGAAAATACATTTGCCTTAAATAGTATGCAATTCAGGGTAGGAAGAATTGACTACTAGTTGCATTATCTATGGTACATTTTGAAGCATTTTAGCACTAGCGGGTGTAGACATGATTTTGGTGTATGGTCATATATCCTTATATTGACACAACATGGAATAGTAATGACCTATCTAAGGGGTTTGGAATGGGCGTGCAGCAATGGACAACACGTCCTAGACAAATATGATTGGGGCATCCGACATGTGGTCATAGGCAACACGTCTTGGACAAGCATGACCGTGACATGTGGCGTGCATAGTGTCAAATACCATTCTTGTTGACACTGGTCATGCTCATCAGATTAAGTTGAAAGAACTCAAACCAATAATTGCCAAACTATCTCCGATTTGTGGTCATAGAGCACAGTTCATGACATGGTCATGTCTTCAAACTCAACTAAGGTGACCTACGATGTTCTTCAAGTACAGCTAGATTTTCTCCAGCTCCATCTGCAATAGTTGTTTTCCTCTTTTGCCATTCATGTCATTGAAACTTCTTTTCCTAACATAAGACTGATTTCTCCAACTTGTTTCTATAACTTTATCAGCCAAGCTTTGTAACCTTAGCTTATTAAAACCATAAGTCAAGCAACAAACCCGAGCGAACTTGAACACAATTCAATCCTTCACTATGTTCGAAATGACTTTTCTCAATGACTTAAATAAATGGTTTTAGGTGTTACGTAAGTTCTATACACTTGAAAAGTCGTTCACTACAATGGTGGAGAAATGGACTTCCAAGAGAGTAGTTTTCGTCTGATCCTGTTACTCGTCCTTTAGAGTAGTTAGGAATGACTTTTCAATAGCTTAAAAACAGTTCTACATGTTATATAAGTTCTATACTAGCACTACATAGTTGATCAAGAGTACCAATTTGAGACTCAAAGGAAACGAGATAGGATTGTGGAGAGGGAATGACACTGACATTGGCTTTAAGCTGGTTAATGATCTTCAACTTGAGAGAATCGATAGTACCATCATTCATTAGGACTCCAGCGTGTCTTCTGGAGTTATAACTGAAGACGAGCTCATGAATCTTTCTCTTCAAAATTTCCTCGATGAAATAAAATTTACGATTGAAACAAACACACGAGAAAACTGAAGATAAAAATAAATAAATAAACACCTGAAAAGTTCATCAAACCTACTATATAAGTATTTTCAAGAACGGGTTAGTGTCGGATTCAAAAAAAAAAAAAACACTTAAAGCAATGTTAGATTGTAGTAACAATGAGTAGGATCAAATTCAAAAAGTCCATATAGATATTGGTTGCTAACGATCAATATTTAATCTCTTTAGAGATTGTAGTAACTCTATTTTCAGTTTGTTAAGTTTAACCCACAAAAAAACGTCAACCGGCGAACCAAACTGAATTTTAGGTTTCCAAAAAATTCAAACACCATTCAAACCGGAAAAAAATATAGCCAACTCAACTTGATCGGGTTACCTAGTCATATGAGTATTTCCAATAAAATTTAAAAATCAAACAAAAATAATTTAAAATTCAAGGGTAAAAATGTAATTTTGGAAAATTTAGGAATCAAATAAAAACTAAACCCAAAAAAATTACGGGGTAAAAATATAAATTTTGAAACCTAAAAGCTCACCTATATTCAAACTTTAAAACTTATGAGACTAAAAATTATATATTTACTCGAAACAAAAATATTATTTACTTATATAAAATTTTAATAATATTTTTTATTCTTACATATTTTATTATTGGACTATCTTATTTTTAGATATCTAAAATAAAATCTCAACTAAACAACCTCTCTTAAAATTAATTAAACAGCGAATTCATACCATAAATTATTCAAACGGTAATTCATTTTGTTATCTGGATGATTCCATCCTAAGAAAACTACAAATTTCAAATCCTAAAAATCTCGAGCAGGGATCCACTACAGCAGCACTACACACTTGCTTTTACTATACCCAATTAAATGTCTCCACGTGTCATTCCTGCAACTATTTACCAGGTCATTTTGGTTAGTCCAATGAAATCAATTTCAACTCTACACACGTGTGACATGCAATAGAAACCCCCACGATTCGTGTAGTTACCAATCAGAAAAAGCCACGTATCATATACGTCTATTTGGAAGCTTTTTATTGGCTGTTATTTCCACGTCATAATATATTTTCGTTTTATTTTATTTTCACGATCCATTAAGATTTATGGCGTCGACTCACTATATAGTCCCCGGTGGTTCCCATTTCGTTCCCCATCTTCGCAATTTCATTTCTCCTTGCCTCTCTCCCTCTCGCAGAGAAGCTTAAGCTTTGTTGTAAGCTTGAAGCCATGGCGTTTAGGGTTCGTAACCCTAATTTAGTCTCCTTGATCCTTCTATCTCTCGTTGCTATCGCTTCGGCTAAGGTGTTTTTCGAGGAGCGTTTTGATGGTATGATGTTGTTCTCTTTCTCCGCTTTGTTTTGTATAATTTACAGATCCGTTGTTTTTGGCTCAGTAATTTACGTGCATTTTTAGACGTTGATGAATTTAGAACGTGTGTTTATATTGTTCGAGTTGAATTCGTTTGATTGTGATGGATCAGTTGTTTTGTCCGATCCGTTACTGATCTAAATGTGTGTGTGAAATATGGTGTTCAGGCCACATTGTAGACTGTTTAGCGTAGATCCGTTTCGTTTTTTGTGTTTCGTCGTTTTAGAATCATGAAATGTTTTGATTGTTTTTTTTTTTCTTCTTCTGATGTACGTTGAAAATATTGGTGCTCTTTCACGAAGGCTTTTGATATATTGAAATGTGTTGCATTGTGATGAATACCTTGCGCAATGATCTTAAAAGAGAATTCGGTGCTGGATGTTGTTAGGATAATGTTATTTCCTTAGGTCGACTGGACGCTAACCTTTTGTATAGAATCGATGTAAATTGTTTTGATCGTCATTCTCTGATACATTTCCAAAGGTTTTAGAATATGAATCTTGTGTAAAACTTGATACCTCGATGGTATCTTGCGTTAAATCCTTATCGTTTTATCACCTGTTGCTATTTTATTATTATTATTATTTTTTTTTTCAAATGCTAACTGTGTTGAATACTGAAGACGGATGGGAGAATAGGTGGGTTAAATCTGACTGGAAGAAAGACGAGAGTTTAGCGGGAGAATGGAACTACACCTCTGGAAAATGGCACGGAGATGCTAATGACAAAGGTAAAGCTCTTGTTGAGTCAATTGCTTAACATTAGTTTGAATTTACCTGGCTATTGACGCTTCCCGTATGTACTGGCGGGTGGTGCATACCTATGTGATGGTTTCAGTATTTAATTTTCATTCTATTCCTTGGATGTCATAGGTATCCAAACTAGTGAAGATTACAGATTCTACGCTATTTCAGCCGAGTTCCCTGAATTCAGCAACAAAGATAACATTCTTGTTTTCCAATTTTCCGTCAAGCACGAACAGAAGCTTGATTGTGGTGGTGGATACATGAAGTTAATGAGTGGTGAGGTTGATCAGAAGAAATTCGGTGGTGAAACACCTTACAGGTTAATAGTGAACTATGGAGAGTGTCGGTTTTCATTTTATTTTATTTTTATTGTTTACGATAATTATTTTATTGACTTGATTTATGATTATGTATTCCTTGTTTCCTGCAGCATCATGTTTGGCCCTGATATCTGTGGCTACAGCACCAAGAAAGTGCATGCTATTCTCAACTATAATGACACTAATCACTTGATCAAGAAGGAAGTTCCCTGTGAGACTGACCAACTTACTCATGTTTACACCTTCATCATTCGTCCCGATGTAACTTACAGCATCCTCATCGATAATGTTGAGAAGCAAAAAGGCAGTTTGTACAATGATTGGAGCCTCCTCCCTCCAAAGAAGATCAAGGATCCCGAAGCCAAGAAAGTAAGTGCTCTGTTATAAACACATTAATGAGGCCATTTTAGAGTGATGTTTTACGTTGTGGATTCTTATTGATGCCTCCATGTGTGATACTTGCAGCCTGAGGATTGGGATGACAAAGAGTACATTCCTGATCCAGAAGATAAGAAGCCAGAGGTAATGATGCCTTAGTTGTCGAGATCCTGCTTGGTATTTTGTAACAGCAATCTCGAGTATATGTGTTCTTAAATTCACTTGTTTTGTGTATTAGGGCTATGATGACATTGCTAAAGAGATAACTGATCCTGATGCCTCTAAGGTAGCTATTGAAAATTTCCCTTTTAGTCATGTCTTCTTTGAGAAGGAACTCTGTTATTAATGAGCAAAGCTACTTGTTTCAGCCCCAAGACTGGGATGATGAGGAAGATGGTGAATGGGTGGCCCCAACCATTCCCAATCCTGATTACAAAGGCCCATGGGAGCCCAAGGTAGGTTTATGCTGTTTTTGCTTGACGCTTGTGGTATTAATATTATCTCCTTTCTATTTTCCAATTGTAAATATTATTTTTGGTCTTTTCAGAAAATTAAGAACCCTAACTACAAGGGAAAGTGGAAGGCACCATTGATTGACAACCCAGGTTGGTTGTTTTCTATTGATGTTATCAAATCTCAAATTGTGTTTCAACGATTATTACTTCTGTTTAGCTGAGCTCTTGAACCCTTTGCTGCAGACTTTAAGGATGACCCCGAGCTCTATGTTTACCCCAAATTGAAATATGTTGGTATTGAGTTGTGGCAGGTACAGCTTCCTTCTATTCCCTTGCAATCCATTTCTGCTTGTAATATATCTCACTATGATGAATTCATACATCGATGACCCAATTTATATATTGGATATCAGGTGAAATCTGGCACCCTGTTTGACAATGTCTTGATTACTGACGATCCGGAATATGCAAAGAATGTCGCCGAAGAAACATGGGGCAAGCACAAGGAGGTACATTTTAAAACCTTCTTATAGTTGTCTTTTCCTTTATGTACTTGGTTTTGATTGAGTTTGATACATTCTTTAAGGTGGAGAAAGCTGCATTCGAGGAGGCAGAGAAGAAGAGAGAGGAGGAGGTAAACATTGTGCCCTGAAGTCGCATTTTTAAATGTTTAATTAACTGATACCTGAAATATGTCAATTAAGTATTGATTTTGTGCCTTTTCACCTTCACCAGGAAGCCAAGAGTGATCCAGTTGAATCAGATGTAAGTATTATCATTGAGAAAAACTACAGCTTTTGAGATGATTTCTTGTATCATATATAATTTTGATGTCTGCTTTCATTCTACTAGGCTGAGGACGAAGATGAAGACAAATCAGACGATGCAGATGACTCTGATTTGGACGCTGACTTGGACAAAAAGGATGATGGAGCCGAGGACAAGGACGACGACAAACATGTAGGTTATTCTTTTGGTTCCGGGATCGAGTTGTGTACTATTGTATCTCCTTCTGACCTTCATATGATTTAACCGTTTGCAGGATGAACTATAAGGATGGAGGGGAGACAACACAGGAGGTAGAGTTGGGTTGGCAGAAAATTTTCGCGTTCCACCTTTGCTTTTTGTTTCTTCGTTTTGTAGATGTAGAAAAGAAACAGTCTTCTTCATGAATGACTGATTTGGTTGAATTTGAGTTTGAATTTGAGTTTTGAGTTTGAGCCGTTAGGGATAGAGAGAAGAAAGAATAGGACAATTTGATTGATGAAATCTCAATGGAAGGGTTCCTTCTTTTCGCAATTCTCTTGTTTTGATCCCAAATTTGATCCTGTTCTTTTCTCTGGACTTGAACCCACTTTCTGGCCATCTAATGAGTATTGAATATGAAATATTCTTCTAATAAGTAATATAATTTATACTCGAGTAATATAATTTTAATTCGAAGGTTAGATATGCATCATTATTGAAATTTGTATTTAAAAAAGTGCAATGAGCTTGAGATTTGGTGTTTGATAATAGATGTACACGTGAGATGTCATATTGCTCGGTAGACACGTCACATCAAAAAAGTTTGAAAGTTTGAACTTGATAATATCGGTGGACTTGTGTTGTTACTGTACATGTTAATTGATAAATTTTATGTAATGAGTAATGATTTATATTTAGAGTTCAATTAATCTTCAATTGTTTATTTTTTGGTAAGAAATCCTTTATCAATAAAAAAAACAAAAAAAATCATTGTTATATACATTTATACATGTATTGGTCATACTAATTATTATAGCAACTTGTTGGGGACCCATGGCTGCAGATATAGTAACTTGTTGGGACCCATGGTTGCAGATATCCATTCTTATCTCGTGATGAAATTTCAAAGTAGGGTCCAAATAAAGTGAAATAAAATAAAATAAAAAAAAGAAAAAAAAAAGACGGTGCAATCAAAATCTGAAAATTAAGGCACATTCATAATATTAATTTTAATAATCTCTATAGCAACTAATTTTGATATTTAATTTTATTACAAGATCACAACCTCTTATAATCTTTGTAATTCATATTAATTATTTTAACTTAAATTAATTCTTAAAAAAAACTTCGTTTAAGAATATTCTTGGTATAGAAATCCAGTGTTATAGTATACAATTGATTAGCCGTCTCAAAATTTAAAGTTGGTTCATTAGAACCATATAAACCGATACCTAGACTCCCCACATAAAATCTCTGAAAAATCTTTTAAAGATATTAAAAAATAAAAATATTTAATCCGTAAATTGCATCATTTTTTTAAAATGGTTGAAAACATATACATAGCGATGGGAGGAGGATTAATGGTTGGTAACTTTTATTGATTCAATAAAAAAAATGACTAAATTCGTTTTCAATTTACCAAAATAGGAAGGTCTCTTGAAAGTGTTTTTCAAAAGATTCTACGTCAATTTGATACGGTTATCTTTCCGATAGTGGAATGTCTAGAATTTGTGGGAGAAAAGACTTAATTATTTACCAAAATTGAAGTTTGAAACTTACTTTTTGCTTGGGACCAGATAAAAATTTCATTCAATTACATTAGATATGGTAAATTTTTTAAAATGAATAAATATAATTATATTGACTTTTCATAAACTCATTTATTTATTTGTGTAATATGACTATATATATATATATATTAATTAATTAAATTTTTTAACGTGTGAAAAATATATTTATATTGAGACCTATCTGCCATATTTATCTAATCATTTCTTTAAAAAAAAAAATCCATAATACATTAAATAAAGTAAAACTTGATTGCTTAAATCAACTACACAAACTTCACATACATAATTGTGTGTTTTTTTTTACGAAATGTAAAATAAAATTAAAAAAAAAATAAACATTTTTATTTACTAAGCAGCTGAGTCTTTGGGCTTCTTTACAATTAAAATGGGACACTTCACAATCTTTGCACAATGGTTGCTCACACTCCCAATCAACGCCCTGCAAATATTTCAAACCATTAAATTTTAATTAATATCAAACACTTTATTCACTCATTTTTTTATTGAATTTTAAAAAATTCAAATATTTATCGAACCAACCAAACCGAACCGAACCGAACCAAGATAGTCACCTTTTGATTGGACCATAGCCATGGCAACCCATGACCAACACGTCAGCACCCAATTTCTCCACCATCTCACATATCACGTCCCTTGCATCTCCACTTTCCACTCTTGTCTCCACCTTCACCTGTTCCCACAGCCCCATTTTCGTCATTTCACATTTTCTAATCAATTCAAAATAAATAATCTCTCTAAATGCTCAAGGGTACAATAGTCATTTCACACCACAATATCTAGAACACTCCTATAATATATCTTCCCACTATAAATTTTATTTTTAATTTAAACTCTTGTTTCCTTTTAACACTAAATTACTTAATAAAAATTACTTAATGTGATTATATTACACGTAATTTTAGAGAAGTAATGACGTGGTAATTAATAAATAAAAAAAGCCCTAATAACTCACATTATTTAGATCCTTGCATAGCTTCTTGGCCTTCTCCACAATGGCCGCCGCCACGTCACGACTATGCCTCTCCATCGTGGCCATAATATCCGCTGAAAACAAATACCCTACAAAATAATAATAATAATAATAAAATTAAAAACTTCAAAATTACCAAAATAACCGTTGGATAGTTTGAATTTACTTACCAGTGCCATCCATGGCGGTGTAAATCGGGCGGGGTGGCCGAGCGTAGAGGAGGATAAGGGTATCTTTGGAATTTTGAGAAATTACATTCCTCAAACACCAAGAGAGCGCGTACAAGCTCTCCTCGCCCTCGTCGACGGCCACAAGGATCTTTCTCTCACGTTCCGACACGTCACCCATCTGAGATCCGATGATAATCCGACGGCTGGTAACAAATCTCGAAAAACGGTTGCAAATTCCCAGTGCTGGAAGCGTCGTAGACAGTTTGGTGACCGGGAAGTCCGAGCCACCGGCGATATTTATAGGAGAGAGAGAAAAAAAAAACATTTTAATTTTTTTAAAAATATATATATAGAAAATTAAAAAACCGAAAACCATTGGCGGTTTTGGGTTTCGGCTTCCGGTTTTTTTCTTCTATATAAGTCTGTGGGCCATTTTTATTTATTTATTTACATTTATTTAAATTCGAAAAATGAGAAGTGGGCCCCACTTGTTTTATTCTTTTGGATAAACTCAATTTTCAAACTTATCTTTTTTTTTTCTTTATTTAAATTAAATTAATTTCTGCCACGTGGCTACTACTATCTCGCAAAAACACGTAAATATAAAATGATTTGTTAATTATTATTTTTTAAATATTATATAATTTTACAATGATTTATTTTCAAATAAATCTTAAAATTAAAATTTTATTTTTTATAAAAAATTTAAATTTATACTGAACACATCAAATTGGGTTCAATTTAATATTTAATTTAATTACGGTGGAAATAATTAAGTTGGAATAAAAAAAAATTAATTTTTGTTTCTTTTAAGGTTTTAAATTAAAGTTTTGGGCCGGACTCCATAATTGGGGGATGGAGGTAGGCCCAATAAACATCCATGTGGGCCTGTTTAGGGCTTCATTTACCTCAGCTTCAAACAGAAATGGCGGCCACAGTTCTCACCTCCCTCTTCCTCTCCTACTTATTATGTTAATATCTACGATTTCCAGATGCGTTTTTTTTATTAGTATGATCCTAAATCCCTAGAAGTGCTCATTTGCTCTTGCTTTGGGGGATTTTAGGGGCTCGATCTCGTGGGTTTACGGTACAAGTTTGCAGCTTTTCGAGGTCGTTTTTGGCCTGCATTTTGCCGGAAATTAGAAAATGTTTTTGGTTGATTGGTTCTATGGAGTTCTTGCATCTCTTGGGTTGTGGCAAAAGGAGGCCAAGATCCTTTTCTTAGGGCTCGATAATGCTGGAAAAACGACCTTGCTTCATATGTTGAAAGATGAGGTATATTTCTTTATGATTCTTAAGTTTATTGTCTTTATTCATTTTGTTAATATTTGTACACTATTGAAAATTGATGAAATGCTTTCGATGGAGAGATAGCAATGTTACAAGTCTTGAATCTCGATTGTTGTTTGTAGATTATGTTTAATTCCAGATTATTTCCCAAATAAGGTGGTATATGAAAATATTATCCCCGAGGAAAACAGATGCTTGGATTCAGAATTCAGAGAGCGTAAAATGGTTGCATTTCCTTAATTTTTCGATGTTTTTGAAATCTTATTTGTTGCTTAGATTTGCCTGAATGTTGGATTTTTAGTTAGCTCTAATTCAAGAGTTCATTTCGTTAACTTGTCATGTTGCAGAGATTAGTTCAACACCAGCCGACCCAGCATCCAACTTCGGAAGAGTTGAGTATTGGTAAAATCAAGTTCAAGGCCTTTGATCTAGGAGGACATCAGATTGCTCGCCGAGTTTGGAAAGATTACTATGCTAAGGTGTATATTTTTTCACCTCCTTTACTTGATATTCCTAATTCTGGATGTGTTACGCCTGTACAGAGAACCACATGGGTCGAATGATATCATATGGTGGTTGTATTTTATCTATGAGTTGAATGTTTCAGTTGACCGAATGTATAGTTTTCTGCCAATTATGGGGTTGAATTTCTTGATCAATGCAATTCTTGAACTCCTGTTATTTTTAACTTGAGAGGCTGTTAAATCTATTTGAGCACTAATCAGTCTCATCAGTTTCGAAATGTTTCCAACCCCTCGTAATCCTTGAGAAAGTTATTCGTGTTACTTGTCGATAGCATATCTTCGTCCTGAAATGTTCTGCTTTGAGTACTTAAGTGTCATTCAAACTATTTTTCAACTGTAAATTATAGTTGCTGAATATTTATTCATCATGTCTCATATTTGTTGTCCCAAGTACTGAGTTAAGATATTGCCTTCTTTGAGGAAAGATGAAAGTCTTTGCTTCTAAATGCTAACAATGGTTTTAACATACATTGATTTCCTCTACCTCTGTGATTGTTTGAACTTTACTTTCTTATCATTTTCAAAATGTTTCCTCGCCTCCATAATCCCAGACAAACTTTTTGTAGTTTTCTGATTCATGGGAGGCAGAAATTACATGGTTATTCGCTGATAGCATATCTTCTTCTTGAAAAGGTCTGCTTATAGTTCATGATCATACATTGTTTCATCATTCAACCCATCCAATTGCAAGTCATATTGACTGAATGTGTTATACCTCATTTACCATATCAGAAATCCCATGTACTTCATTGCTGTTTTGTGTTCTTTGTCATGGAATTGGAACTTTTGCTTCAAAATGTATGATTTTATCTTCCTCCTTTGTGGTTATCTGAACTCTCAACACCATCTCATTGTGTTCAACATGTTTCCTTGCCTTCATGTGTTCTTCTGATTCATGGGAGGCAGAAATTATATGGCTATTCGCTGATAGCATATCTTCTACATGAAAGAGTCTGCTTTTAGTACATAACCGTACATTTTTTTTTTCTTTTAGTACGTACCGTGCATTTTTCTGTGTTACTGCCCTTACCATTTTGTCTACCTTAGCGGTTATTTGAACTTTAAACCATCTAGTTTTTTTTTTTTTTCCCCTCAAAATGTTCTCCTGCCTTCATAATCCCAGACATACCTCTTTGTGTTTTTCTGATTCATGGTAGGCAGAAATCATATGGTTATTCGCTGATAGCATATCTTCTGCTCGAAAAGGGTCTGCTTTTAGTACATAACCATACATTTTTCTTGTCATTGTAGCTATTTGTGAACTATAAATTGTACCCACTGATATTCTTTAATGACATTTGCCATATTTGAGGTCCAATGTACTGACTTTACTGCATTGCCTTCTCTATGGAAAGGTCTGAAAGCTTTACTTTGAAAAATTACCTACAGTTATCATACATCATTTTGTCTACCTTTGCAGTTTATTCAACTTTGAAGCGACTTAGTGCTTCTGTAATATTTTCCTGCCTTCATAATCCCTGACAAACAATTTTGTGTTTTTCTGATTCATGGGAGGCAGAAATCACATGGTTATTCGCTGATAGTATATCTTCTCCTTGAAAGGATTTGCTTTTAGTACATAACCATACATTTTTCTCATCATCGTAATCGTTCTTCTACAATTCTACTATAAATTATAAGCTCTGATATTTTGTATGACATTTTCTATCTTTAAGATCCTAAGTTCTGAGTTTCTATATTCTACAATTTTACTACCTGTGCAGTTTATTCAACTTTGAAGCGACTTAGTGCTTCTGTAATATTTTCCTGCCTTCATAATCCCAGACAAACAATTTTGTGTTTTTCTGATTCATGGGAGGCAGAAATCACATGGTTATTCGCTGATAGTATATCTTCTCCTTGAAAGGATTTGCTTTTAGTACATAACCATACATTTTTCTCATCATCGTAATCGTTCTTCTACAATTCTACTATAAATTATAAGCTCTGATATTTTGTATGACATTTTCTATCTTTAAGATCCTAAGTTCTGAGTTTCTATATTCTACAATTTTACTACCTGTGCAGTTTATTCAACTTTGAAGCGACTTAGTGCTTCTGTAATATTTTCCTGCCTTCATAATCCCAGACAAACAATTTTGTGTTTTTCTGATTCATGGGAGGCAGAAATCACATGGTTATTCGCTGATAGTATATCTTCTCCTTGAAAGGATTTGCTTTTAGTACATAACCATACATTTTTCTCATCATCGTAATCGTTCTTCTACAATTCTACTATAAATTATAAGCTCTGATATTTTGTATGACATTTTCTATCTTTAAGATCCTAAGTTCTGAGTTTCTATATTCTACAATTTTACTACCTGTGCAGTTTATTCAACTTTGAAGCGACTTAGTGCTTCTGTAATATTTTCCTGCCTTCATAATCCCAGACAAACAATTTTGTGTTTTTCTGATTCATGGGAGGCAGAAATCACATGGTTATTCGCTGATAGTATATCTTCTCCTTGAAAGGATTTGCTTTTAGTACATAACCATACATTTTCTTCATCAACGTAATCGTAATCGTAATCATTCTTCTACGGTTCTACAAATTATTTGCTGATGTTTTGTATGACATTTTCTGTCTTTAGGATCCTAAGTTCTGAGGTGGTAGGATTGAAATTTTGGTTTTAACAGACATTGATTTTGCCTAACTTCGCTAGTATTTTAACTCTGAATGATTTCATTGTTTCAAAAATGTATCCCTGCGTTCATAATCCGAGATGATCCTTTCTTGGTGTTTTACTGATTCATTGGAGGCAGAAATTATGTAGCTGTTTGCTAATAGCATCTTCTCATTTTAAGAGGGGTCAAAATTGTGTCCTTTGCTGAACTATGGTTTTAACACATGCATTGATTTCATCCACCTTTGTGAAACTGTGGCTACAATGATGTGGCCTTGTACAAGTTTTAAAATCATTTGTATTCTGACATTGGCCTGTGAAGGACAAACAATGTGTTTTGAGCTGTTTATTTGATATCATATGCCTCTAACTGGGTCATCTAGTCTTGTGTTGTGCTCGCATTATATAGCTCCTTATCATGTCAAAACCTTTATTGAATATGTTGCCATTGTCGTGTGAAGGTGGATGCCGTAGTTTATCTGGTTGACGCATATGACAAGGAGAGATTTGCAGAGTCGAAGAAAGAGTTGGATGCTCTCCTCTCCGACGAAGCATTGGCCGACGTTCCATTTCTGATTCTGGGCAATAAGATCGACATTCCATATGCTGCATCAGAAGACGAGTTACGGTATAACTTAGGCCTAACAAACTTCACGACTGGCAAGGGCAAGGTAAGCATGGCTGACTCGAGTGTTCGTCCTCTGGAGGTTTTCATGTGTAGCATTGTTAGGAAAATGGGTTATGGGGATGGTTTCAAATGGCTTTCTCAGTACATTAAGTAGATTTTGTTTTCTTTGTTCCGAGAAACAAATTATTTTGTTCAAGCTTTACTGTCATTCTGTTGGTATGAATCTGAGGGGTAAGAATTGTTTTTACCTTTTTCATTTCCAATTGAAACTCCCACACCAAAATTTGATCATAAAGGCTGTAGTGAATTGGCTACTCTATTCTTCATTGCTTCTCTTTCATGTTTTTTTTAATTGAACATATAGATCAAACCATTGACTAGTTGATCATATCCTGATTTGGGTATCTAGATTTTTTCTTTCACGTGTGAATGTTCAATCAGTTTTCGACTCCATGACTGTTCTCACATGACAATCGTCTCATCAACCTACTGCATTTGATCATCAAAGAAACTTGTACAATATTATCCTAAGTAGATAATCACTATGACTCAAACTCATTACTTCTAAGCCCTTATCGAACACTGACTCAATAGTTCAAATTTCTCAAACTCATATGTATAGTCAATTTTATTGAACACCCAGCATCCCACAAAGGTTGTGCACAGACAATCTTTGAAAAAAAAAACTAAAAAATAAGAACAGGTGCATATTTTCTTTCATTTCTTGGACCAATTTCATCCTGAGACATGATGAAACTTGTATATAATATATGAAAGGCCATGTTATGCTCTTCCAGTTCTTCATTGTTCACATTGAAAACTTTCAAAACATAACTTACAGTCCAGAAGGCTGGGAAGCCCAAGTTTCGATCTTCCCTTGCGCATCAATCCATAAGGCATGGCATGGCATGGCTAGCTCTGAACTCTTAAGCTTTACCTTGTTCTGTGAAGCTTCCTGGCGTTTTTCTCTTTTAGAGAACTTCAAGCCGCTCCTGCACCTATTTCACATAAAGCGACTTGGCCCTTCGACACTGCTCCCTTCGACACTGCTTCCACAAATATCTAAAATAATGGAGACGATTAGGGTGGTACCTGTTTAAGAGATGCCCCTTCTAAAACACGTCTACTAGGAACTTCATTCACCTCTCCAATGAATGTGGGACCTCATAATCCACCTCCTTGGGGAACCCAACGTCTTCTCTAGCACACCGCCCAATGTCTGGCTCTGATACCATTTGTAACAATTCAAGTCCATTGCTAACAAATATTATCCTTTTTGGGCTTTCCCATTAGTGCATCCCCTCAAGGTTTTAAAATGCAAGGAGCCACGTGCTTATAAAGAATGCTTCTTCCCCTCTCCAACCGATGTGGAACCTCAAAATTCACCCCTCTTGGGAGCCCAACGTCCTCACTAGCGCATCGCCCGGTGTCTTACTCTGATACCATTTATAGCCCACCGCTAAATATTGTTCTTTTTAGGTTTTCCCTTTCGTGCTTCCCCTCTCAAGGTTTTAAAACGCGTCGAAGAGGTTTCCACAGTCTAGTAAGAAATGTTTCATTCCCTTCTCCGACCGATGCAGAACCTCGCACCAGTTAACAAAGTGCAGTACAGGCAATACATAAGTCTTACATTTCAAATAAAGTTGCCACATAGAACTTGAATCTACAGCAGCATCCACCGAGAGGCCACGGACCAAAATTTGATAGCCTAAAAGTTAATATACTAAAGATTTTAAAGGTCAATGTAGTACTAACAGAAATGGATGAAAAAACGAACAATTATTAACTCAAGACAGCCTTAACTTCTACCACATAAACACAAAAGAGCAGTGCAAATACAGATTCTCCAACAAAGTGACCAAAGTACACACTGATTCAAGAAAATGTTTGAAGGAACAGTGAGACAATGGTATAACTAACCTGGGTTTTTCCCAATCGTAATCTCTATGCTTCAATGGTTTTGTCTGCACTGGCGATCCTTTCACTGAACAAAAGATGAAAATTGAAATCCTTCTGAACCATCATCATACCAAGTTTACATATTCTAGCTTCTATAATTACACGTGAATGACAGCAAAATACTCAACAGAAATGGCAGGAAAGGGAACACTTACATTGAGGAACACACACAAAAATAAGCATTAAGATGACGATGAGAACAAGAAATAAATTCCATAAGTCCCAACCTGTTTTTCATGCTCACGAGGCCGTTCCAAACACTCCTCTCGGTCAAATTTTCTTCTGATGGTGTTATCAACTCCAGCAACCTGCATTTATGAAATCGACCGAAATTAGTTGCAAATAAACCCCATCGAAATCCCAAAAGGAAAGAGTTGAGGTTTTTTCATCATTCTTAACTATTTTTCTCGTTTCATCCACAAAATGTGCCAGAACCAGAATCAGAACCACTCAGAGAATTTAAGTTGGGATGGAATATCAGTAAGCTAGGGTTCAAAATGAAACGGAAGATTAGAACTTACAGTATTGCTGGCATGAGCCATCGCCGCCGAAAAAAAACTTGACCGCACCACTGAATCTCAAATCCGCCAAAAAGTTTAACAAGGTTCACACAGGGCGTTTGGTCTAGTGGTATGATTCTCGCTTTGGGTGCGAGAGGTCGTGAGTTCGATTCTCGCAACGCCCCCCACTACTCCTATTTATTTAAAAAAATATATAAATTACTAAAAATCTGAATTAAAATATTTAATTTTTCAGTCAAGTGTATATTTTAATTAATTGGGTCATTTTAGAAAACACACCTAAACCTTAGGATATATTTTAATAATTTTTACACACCATTAAGGTTGAAAGTTTGAATGGTGGACAGAAGTGGCCCAACAGTATTATGGGCTAAACAAAGGCCCATAAAAGAGATGTTGGGTTGGGCTAGTTTTAAGTGGCCCAACAGTATTATGGGCTAAACAAAGGCCCATAAAAGAGATGTTGGGTTGGGCTAGTTTTAAGTGGGCCGAAGATATTATGGGCTAAACAAAGGCCCATAAAAGAGATGTTGGGTTGGGCTAGTTTTAAGTGGGCCGAAGAGAAACAAAGATAACAAAAAGAGGTGAGCCCAACAGTGTTATGGGCCATACAAAGGCCCATAAAGATGTTGGGTAAGATAACAAAAAGAGGTGAGCCCAACAGTGTTATGGGCCATACAAAGGCCCATAAAGATGTTGGGTTGGGCTAGTTTTAAATGGGCCGAAGAGAAACAAAGATAACAAACAGAGGTGAGCCCAACATTATTATGGGCTAAACAAAGGCCCATAAAAGAGATGTTGGGTTGGGCTAGTTTTAAGTGGGCCGAAGATATTATGGGCTAAACAAAGGCCCATAAAAGAGATGTTGGGTTGGGCTAGTTTTAAGTGGGCCGAAGAGAAACAAAGATAACAAAAAGAGGTGAGCCCAACAGTGTTATGGGCCATACAAAGGCCCATAAAGATGTTGGGTAAGATAACAAAAAGAGGTGAGCCCAACAGTGTTATGGGCCATACAAAGGCCCATAAAGATGTTGGGTTGGGCTAGTTTTAAATGGGCCGAAGAGAAACAAAGATAACAAACAGAGGTGAGCCCAACAGTATTATGGGCTAAACAAAGGCCCATAAAAGAGATGACAAAGATAACAAACAGAGGTGAGCCCAACAGTATTATGGGCTAAACAAAGGCCCATAAAAGAGATGTTGGGTTGGGCTAGTTTTAAGTGGCCCAACAGTATTATGGGCTAAACAAAGGCCCATAAAAGAGATGTTGGGTTGGGCTAGTTTTAAGTGGGCCGAAGATATTATGGGCTAAACAAAGGCCCATAAAAGAGATGTTGGGTTGGGCTAGTTTTAAGTGGGCCGAAGAGAAACAAAGATAACAAAAAGAGGTGAGCCCAACAGTGTTATGGGCCATACAAAGGCCCATAAAGATGTTGGGTTGGGCTAGTTTTAAATGGGCCGAAGAGAAACAAAGATAACAAACAGAGGTGAGCCCAACAGTATTATGGGCTAAACAAAGGCCCATAAAAGAGATGTTGGGTTGGGCTAGTTTTAAGTGGGCCGAAGAGAAACAAAGATAACAAAAAGAGGTGAGCCCAACAGTGTTATGGGCCATACAAAGGCCCATAAAGATGTTGGGTTGGGCTAGTTTTAAATGGGCCGAAGAGAAACAAAGATAACAAACAGAGGTGAGCCCAACATTATTATGGGCTAAACAAAGGCCCATAAAAGAGATGTTGGGTTGGGCTAGTTTTAAGTGGGCCGAAGAGAAACAAAGATAACAAAAAGAGGTGAGCCCAACAGTGTTATGGGCCATACAAAGGCCCATAAAGATGTTGGGTTGGGCTAGTTTTAAATGGGCCGAAGAGAAACAAAGATAACAAACAGAGGTGAGCCCAACAGTATTATGGGCTAAACAAAGGCCCATAAAAGAGATGTTGGGTTGGGCTAGTTTTAAGTGGGCCGAAGAGAAACAAAGATAACAAAAAGAGGTGAGCTCTATGCCTATCTCATCCACATCTTAGGAGGTTGACATTGAGAGAGACTTTCTTTGTACTTGTTGCTTGATGGGTCTTGTTTGTCATGCAAGACAATGGTGGCTTTGGACCATCGGAGATTTGTTTCTCATGCCCAAAATAATCTCTCCGTCACGGTCGTCATCATTTTCTTTTAGGGATAGCGTTTTGTTTTTTTTTTTAAAGATGTTAGACGAATCTCCATTTTGATCTTTTTGTATTCTTCTAGCTATATGATTTGAGTCCCCGAGACGTATTGATTATAGGATAGCTTTAAGATGACATTGACATAATCAAAGCTAAGTTGGCTAGCTTGACAAGTAATTATGTTAACTTACAAACACGTGGATTATTAGTCCCTTTTGTCTTTTTTTGCTTTCGTTATCGCAATTGTTTATTTAGTCTAATTCGAAAGTTTAAGATCTCACCACAACTATATCTTGTAATATTTAGAAGCACGAAACTCGTGAGAAGAGATATCTAAACCGATGTTATCGATTTCGATCTTTAGGGACGAATCGAGGTTGGGAGGAAAACGAAACATTAAGGTTGTGAAGACCTCTCCCTAGCAAACAAGTTTTAAAAACCTTGAAGGGATATCCCTAGAAGGACAACATTTGCTTGCTATGGGCTTGGACGGTTACAAATGGTATTAGAGTCAAACACGAGGCAGTGTGCCAGCGAGGATGCTGGGCCCCGAAGGGACGGTGGATTATGAAATTCCACATTGAGAAACCTTGAAAGGCGAAAGAGGATGGATTGTGAGACTTCACATTGAAAAACCTTGAACGGAAGTTCGAAAGGAAAAACCCAAAAGAACCATATTTGCTAGTGATGGGTTTGGTTTGTTACAGTTGTGGGTCTTTTGAGTACTCTAAAACATCAAAATCAACAACAACGAGCAAGAACTAACTCACCATGAATTTTTCGACCTCAAATGTTGTAGGGAATCAAGTTTCGATCGATCGAGATCACAAGTTCACCAGCAAAGATCAAACTTAACAACATTGGTTCAGATCTTCCCCTCCACAAGTTTTGACACCAAACATTACAAGGATCAAACCGTGGTCCTATGAGATCTATTAAGGTATATGCAAACTAATCTAAAGCAAAACACGTAAAAACAATCAAAGCCAAATGTTTCCATCACTCACCCACCACCCATCTGTTTCTCCTTTATGCTAATATCAAGGAAACAGCATGGCCCCAGAGAGATTAGGAACAAAATCCACTTCCACCCTATTGCACATTATTTTAACGGAGCTTCCTAATTCAGGCAAAACAAATTCAAACTCCTAACTTTTGTCAAGAGTTAAAACTTTATTCCCACACCTTTTTGAAACAAAAGAAATTTACTTTTGTTTCAAAAAAGATAAAAAAGTTCCAGTGGCAACATGAACTTTTTAATGTTGGGATGTTTAGAAATACCCTCCAAAAAAGATTCCCTTCAACTAAAATAAGTTGGGTTGGACCCTACTTTATAAAATAATGCATCTCCATTGTTACGAGACTGAGCAATAATAAAGGAAGCATGTATTAGGGCTATCTCGGAAAATTTTCAGATATCATCTAAGAGTATGTTCAAATCAAACCCCTAATCCTGTGATACTGTTGTCTCTCGGAGTTGGCATGTGAGATTCTACATCGGTTGGAGAGGAGAACGAAGTATTCTTTATAAGGGTGTGGAAACTTTTCTCTAGTAGAAGCGTTATAAAACCTTGAGAGAAAGTCTAGAACGAAAAGCCCAAATAGGACAACATTTGTTAGTGGTGGGTTTGGGCTGTTACAAATGGTATCAAAACCAAACACCGGGCGATGTGCCAACGAGGAGGCTAAGCCCCGAATGGGGTGGACACGAGGTGGAGTGTGCCAACGAGGATGTTGGACTCTGAAGGATGATGGATTGTGAGATCTCACATCGGTTAAAGAGGGAAACAAATGATTCTTAAGGGAGGGGAAACCTCTCTCGAGCAGACGCGTTTTAAAATTTTTAGGGGAAGCCCAAAATGAAAAACCTAGAGAGAATAATATCTTATAGGAGTGGGCTTAAGCCGTTACATGGCCTTAGGATGGATGAAACCTCCTTGAAAATTATGGGACGGGTTTGAGGATAATAAGGAGAATAGGGCCCTTGTTGCCCCCATAATCGAAATTAAAAAGAAAAAAGGAAAGGAATTTACCTCAAATCTCTTCCAAGCATCGAGGCAACAATGTGGGGTAGCTAGCAAAAGGTTCCTGCACCACAGAAGTTAAAGAATAGCACCAAGAGAACATATAGTTATCTCTTGCTATTTGTTTGTAAACAAGTCATTCCTTGTGGATCCGTAGGTTAAGATGGGGCCTTTCTGCTGCCTCACACAGCAATGTCCCATCAACGTGTGAGCCATAGCCCTATAATTGATCTCATTTCTCACTAACCAAATCAACATTCTCTTTCATCATCATCAACCCTCATCACTTTTTGTTTTAGGGTTTCAACACAACCCCCTATAAAAGTCACCAATAAATCATTTATCATTGCACAACCATAAAAATGCACAGATTCAAAGATATTATAACTTTTTTTTTTTTTTTTT